CTACTTCTGAAATCTTTCTTTATCGAGGTCTGGAAGGCCTCCTGTCTGGTATGAACGCACACGACAACCCAAGCGCCCGGGACAAACCTCGGTGCTTTTACAACTGGGGCTGCAGACGCCAACATCTGCCTTCCGCGAGTTGGGCTGCAGCCCACGTCTGTCACTTAACATCTTCGGATCCAGGATTGGAGCCCCTCGGTCCCCCAGCACCGACCGACCGCGGCGGCTTCTGCGAGGGACCGGAGGGTGGGCGGTGTTCGCGGGGCTCCCCGGGGCTCCGGAGGTGCCCGCGTTCCTGAGGGGCAGGGCGGGCGGGCGGACGGGGGGGCGGGCGGCGGGGGCCAGCTTTTTCTCTTGGGTAATACCCAGGAGCAGGACTCACTATGTAAGGAACTGGACGGGCCTCTCCTCCCTGGACGGCAGGCCTGGCTCCACGTCACAGCAAGCTGCCGAACCCCGTGGGCCTCATCGAACACTTGCTCTAAAACGTGCTTTTTTTGGTATAAAGGTTCTTTGGGGGAGTCGGGCGCGGTGGCCCACATCTGTGACCCCAGTGGTTGGGAGGCTGAGGCAGGAGGATCACGGGTTCAAAGCCAGCCTCAGCAAAAGTGAGGCCCTAAGCAGCTCAGTGAGGCCCCGTCTCTAAATAAAATACAAAATAGGGCTGGGGACCTGGCTCAGGGGTCAACTGTCCCTGAGTTCAATCCCCCGCCTCCCCCAAAAGAAAACCAAAAGATACTTTGGGGGAGACTTTTCTAACTTTGCTTTTGGAGGTTAGCGGGCTCTGAGTACGCCCCGCCAGGCTGGAGTTCTCACCATGTCCCTCGGAAGGAGACAAAGGAGACACCAAGCCCGCCAACTGCCTCTCAGTTTGAGCAAACGTTTGTGGGTGACCCGTGTGGCCCCCACCCAATGAAGACCCCTCCCCTCTCCTGGGCTCTGTGGCTCCTAGTCCCCCGACTCCAGGACACCGCCAAGAAGCCCCCAGTCCCAGGTGGCCTCCGCCTCCCTCCCGGGCCACGGCCCGAGGTCACGCCCCTGCAGAGGGCAGCCTGGGTGCCCTTGTCCAGGGAGTGCCTGGCCTCTAACCCTGTGTCCACTCTGGGTCAGGCAGGTGGGCCTGGGGCCCTGCAGGGTCAGAAGGCAAAGGGGCCCCGAGGCTCGTGGTGCGGGGTGCGTCCAGGGGGCGCAGCCTGTCCAAGTCCCCGACACCAGGCCAAATGGTCTGAGCAACCAAACGGTCACATCTGACCGCAGCCCAGTTGGACGGTCTGTGAGTCCACCCTGAGGTACCAGAGGCGTCTCCGGAGCCGGGGACGCCAACAGCTGTCACCGACATCTGCCCCGGGGGTGACGTGTGACGTCCCCATCTCGGGTGGGCTGCCACCTCGACCCTGCAGACAGACGAGTCCCAGGGAGAGAGGCTGGTGACCAGCCCTGGCCGCACCCGAGGGCACTTCCCGAGGTCCCCACGCAGCGCGGTCTCCTCCAGACAGACCCAGCTCAGTCACAGCACTGGCCAGCGGCCCTCCCCCCAGAGGTGACCCTGGACCAAGGCAGCTCCAGCCCAGGCGCACCCTTCCGTCCCCTCCGTCCCCTCCGTCCCCTCTGTCCCCTCTGCGTGGGGACACCCTAGGCCCTCGTCCTCCGCCAGGGCTGCTCGGTGCCTGCGCCCTGCCCACGGCTCCATGGGGGACCCTGGCTGTGGGGGTGTGTCCCCGCCAACGTCCCCATCTGGGACGTCTCTGCCTGGCTTTCCTGACAGCAGGGGGGCACGCCCCCTCCCCTTCCCCTCTCTGCAGACGCCCCTGGAGCAGGTGGCCGTGTGGGTGACCACTGTGACGTCACAGGTGTGGGGGTGGGCGGGCAGGGGTCAGCACGTGCCATGTGACTGCCCCCCCAGGGCCGTGGGGCAGAGCGGGGGTCCTCTTGGGATCCGGCAGGGGAAGCTGGCCGGGTCTGGTGACCGTACCCACAGGGTGGCCAGGGGGTGTGTCTGTCTAGAAATCACGGGAAAAGGACCCTGAGAGGGGGCCGTGACTGCTTCTGCACACTGGTCCCACGTCAGCCCTAGGGTGGCCCCAGGAGGTCCCTCTCCTGGGGGGGAGGGGGGCAGATAACAGAACATCCGAGAGCGGCAAGGGCTGGGCCAGCCAGGGGACCGCGCGCCGACCCCCTGAGAGGCCAGAGGCCAGTCAGCTCCAGGGCCGCCCCTCCTGGTGCCCCCACGGCCGCTGGGTTCCACTGTTAAGCCTGTCCCTCTGCCCAGTGCCGACGCGCGACACTCAGGACCTGGTAGAAGCTGCAGGTGCCGGGCCCCAACAGCTGTGTAGGACAGGGCCTCCCGGGACAGCGGGCACCCACAGCTCCTGCCACCTCGGCACCCTCCCCTCCAGTGTCACCTCAACTCTGGGCCTGGGGATTCTGAAGCCCTGGAGAGTGACATTTCTAATCCTTGGGTGCCCGTGACCTCTTGAACACGTTTAGGAATCTGAATGCTCTTGTCATGTTCTTCGTTTCCAGAGCAGCCCTGTTAAGTGCCCTTTGTGTTTAATCTGGATCAATGTGTTTGAGGTTGCCCCGAATTGGTTTGAATGAAGCCGCCGGTGCTGAAGGTAAAATCTGGCTTTTCCTAAATACCCATGATCCTTCCTCTTTGTCACACCAGGGAAATAAACGCCACTTGTCGACAGAAACAGCCAAATGGAACGTGTTTAGGACGGAGCGCTGTTTTTCCGTGGCTTTTTCTTTTGGGGTACTGAGGATCGAACTCAGGGGCCCTCCACCGCTGAGCCGCATCCCAGCCCTATTTTGTGTTTTGTTTAGAGACAGGGTCTCCCTGAGGTGCTCAGGGCCTCGCCATGGCCGAGGCTGGCTTGGCCCTTGCCGTCCTCCTGCCTCGGCCTCCCGTGTGCACACTGAGCGTCTCTTGGAGCGGTCTTTTTATCTGTACCACCACACGTCGCTGGAACCACTCGGATGCTGCCCAGTGCCCTTGCTCTAGACCCTGGGTGTAAACTACCTGTTCTACAAGCTGAGTCTTAAGTGTCGCCTCCTCCCAGTCACCGCCCAGGCGCCCGCCACGCCCACCTTGACGGGTGTCCGTGATGGGTTCCAAGCTCCTGTTGGCTCACCTGCACAAACCTGCCCCTGGGAGGTGCTCCCGGGACCCACAGTCCTGCTGGTGCTGCGTCCCCGGGCTGGGGACAGGACCTGGCAGGCACTTACCCAGGGGTCCACCCTCTGTCCTGAAGTCCTGGTCCTCAGAGGGGGCGGGGCTTCTCTGAGACCCTGTGGGTCACCCCGTGACAGCACCGCGGGGCTGGGGTGCCGCTCAGGGGGCGACGGCCACTGCGCCCTGGGGAGGCCCTGGTTCCATCCCCAGCTCAATCAGAAAGCGAGGAAGAGTCGGGTGTGCGAGGACCGGGGACCAGGACGCCACTGACCCAGTCGGCGAGGGAACATGGACTCTCACCTCTGGGGGCCAGCACAGCCCCTCGGACCCGATGCCGAGAGGGCCAGGAGCAGACTGCCCACCTGGTGTCCCTCTGTCCTTCCTCCGCCCCATCTGAGGCCGGGAGAGGACCCCTCCTCCCGCCCCTCCCTCCTGCCGGACAGCGGGCAGCGGGAGGCTGGGTTCCAGCAGGGCCGAGGTGGCCTTCGGTGGCCTTCGGTGCCCTCCCACTTATCAGGGAAGGGGACCGAGCAGCTCAGTTGGACAAAGGCCCGTGGGCAGCAGCGGGGCTGCAGGGGGGCCGCCGTGAACTGGGTGGCTGACAGCTGCCCGCTGGCTCGTCCCTGCTCCCTCTCCCCGGACACCTTCAGGACCACAGGAGGACATCTGTGGCCGGTCACCCCCCCACACACTGTGCCCCCCCGGTGGCCCCAACTCTCAGTGGCTGCACTTGCACCCGATGACGCAGGGGGACAGGGGCCGTGTCTGACGAAGCCCGAGGGGCAGGTCCCCCACCCACACCCCGTCCCCGTCCACTGCCTGTGGCCCCTCGGCCTTTACTTCCTGGTGGAGGTGAAGTCCCCACCATGTCCCAGCCCACAGCCGCGTGGCCTCGGGGCTCCCGGACTGTGCCCACCGAGCAGCTGTCCCGCCCGGTCACCCCCTCACGGGGCCCCCTAGCGCTGGCCCCCAGGCCCCCAGGGTCCCCGTCCTGCGCCCATCTCACTCCTGCCCATCCAGGGGCCACTCCATCCCTGACCCCAGGGCCCTTCAGAGCCCAGCCCCAGCAGGACCCAGTGGGGATTGGCCGGTGGGCGAGGAGCGGAGGCTGCCCTGACGCAGAGGTCACCCTGGGTCCCTGTGGCTGTGACCCGCAGGCCGGGGGGCCGCCCTCCCCGCCCCTGCCCATCTATGGACGGGAGGCGGGGCCCTGGTCTGTGAGGTGGCGGCCCCTGACCTCACAATGCCCAGGGGGCCCTGGGTCTATAAGAGGAGCCGGCCGGGCCTGGCCCTCAGCCCACGCAGTTCCACCTGCTCACAGGTTGGCCGGCTCCTGCCCTGAGCCCGCGTAGCCCAGTCCACCCTGGCCATGGCACGATACATATGCTGCCGCGCCCCCTGCCGCAGCAGATGCCGCCGCCGCAGACGGAGATGTCGCCGACGGAGGAGGCGTTGCTGCCGCAGGCGGAGAGCCTTAAGTAAGGGCGCGGCCCGGGGTGGGGGGCCGGGGCGGGCCTCCCCTGACGCCTCTCTGTCCCCCTAGGGTGCTGCCGCCGCACGTACACCCTGAGGTGCAGGAGGTACTGAGACGGGCAGCGTAGCCAGACCACGCAAGTCCTGCCCGGGAATGTCACCAAACCGCGAGACCCTCCTGCCACGTCTGGGAAATGCCGCCGCCGTTCAGTGAAAACAGGAGCCTGCTGAGGGACAATGCCACCTGTCAATAAATGTCGAAAATCATCCCACCCAACGTCTCCTGGTCCTTGAGAGGGGCCTCGGGGGCTGGGGGGCGGGGGGGGCGTCTCCCGTGCCATCCGCCTCCCGGGCCACCCCGACGGCCACAGCGCGTGCGGAACGGCCCCCGCAGGAGTGTGTACCTCGGCGCTGGGCAGCTCCTGAGGGTGTCTCGGGCCCCAGAGCCGGTCCAAGTGACCCCTGTGTGGGGGACGGTGGGGGAGGGCCTCGTCACAGCGCTTGCCCAGCGCACGCCGGGCCCTGGGCTCGGGGACCAGCACCACCCACGAGAGAGGCCCGTGACCTCACAAAGTGCCACCCGGGTCCATGTCAGCCCAGAGGTGAGTCGCAAGTCGGTCACCTGTCAGGAGCCCTCCAGGTGAGTATCTGGACGGCGCGTCCAGCTGGCGGGTTAGCAGGCTGGACTCCACCTGGTCCTCAATGGCGCCACACGGGGGCACACCGTCACGGCCAAGGACGGGGCACTTGCCCACCGCGCTGCCTGGGCCACGCTCCCTCAGGACACTGCCTACCCCCGAGTTCCCACAGCGAGTGGAGATGGCCGCCGGGGCTGGACACCTGGACCCAAGAGCGACCGGACTTGGACTTGGTCTGACAGGCCCCGTCACAGGCCGGGAAAGCCCAGCCCTCCGCCCCCCGAAGCGCCCAGGGTGGTCCTCCCGTGGCACCTCATCAGCCACCGGAACTCAAGACCAGTCCCCCGAAGGACAGGCCCGCCTGGCTCCCGGCACGTGAGCCCTCTGTGTGCCCGCCGAGTGCCCAGCTCCGGTCCTCGACTGAGCCCGCGCGGCAGCGGCAGCCAGGCTGCTCTGGTGACCCGGCCATGTCCCGGGAGGGTGGCAGGTGGACTCCATCTTGACCCTCAAGCTCTAACTGGAGATTCCCAGCGAGCGGCACCTGGGGTGAGCTCTGGTCACTGGTGGTTTACCAGGGCCCCAGGGGAGGCTGAGGGGACGGCGCTGGCCCTGGTCAGGGCTGCCCGTTGAGCCCTCCGTCCCTCTCATGGCTGCTGTTGGTAGAAGACAGGTCCATTACCTTAGTCCTGCAGGTCTGAGGGGAAAACGGAGCCGGGCCACTCGCTGTGGGACCAGCCACGTGGGAGGCTGAGGCAGGAGGACCGAGAGTTCCAAGCCACCCTGGGCCACCTAGCGCGGCCCTGTCACCAAAGCCTGAGGCGGCCTGAGGACGAGTCCAGTCCCGTCCTGGACTCGGGTCTTTAAGACAGGTCTTCAGGTGCCGCCAGGAGGTTTGGGGGAGAGCCCTCTCCTTGCCTTTCCCAGGGGCCAGCGGCCACCTGCGCTCCTGGCTCGCGGCCTCCCTCAGCCGTGGCCCATGCTCTGAGACCCCTCCCCACTCTCACACCTGCGCCAAGTCCCCTTAGCCCTGTGAGACAGCGCGCTCAGTCGGGGACCAGGACCCGGCTCGGCGGGGGGCGCCTGGTGCCGTCCGCCCCATCCTCCTGCCCTCAGCTGCTAGGATTCCATGGACGTCGCGGGGATCTCACGCGACACACGTTACACAAACCCGTCATGTACCCAAGGCCGCCAGGGGCGCGTTCCTACGGACAGGGCTTGGTGTCTGAGTTTGGTGCTGGACACTGAGTGCTCCCTGGGCCTCCACAGGGCCCGGTTAAGTGGGTCTCGCCACGGAGGAGGAAGAGGCTGGACCTCCATCTGCGCCCCGCACCACAGACCTCCCTGACTCCCAGGACACGTGGGCATCACTCCAGCTTCAGACGCGGCCAGTGACTTGGTCAGCGGGACCCTTAGGGATCCTCAGAGCTCTGCCATCTTAACACAGCGCCCCTGAGGAGGGGCGGTCTCTGTAGCATCTGCAAGTGACCCAATTAATAAACGGGCCAAGGAAACGCTTTTCAAATCAATGTGTGCACGTCTGCGCGGGGGTGGGAGTGCGAGGCGGGTGGGAGTGCGCGTCAGTACGTCTGCTACGGAAAGTGCACGGAGGGCCCTCGGAAGACCCGGCTGAGCCGGTCCTCGGTATCAGCATTCGGCAGGGACACCCGCGTTTCTGTGTTCACGGCAGCCAAATGTGGCACCAGCCCCGTGTCCATCAGTGGACAAGATGGTCTGTGTACACAGTGGAGTTTTATTCAGCCATAAAGAATGTCCCCTGCCGGTCAATGGCGGGAACGTGAGGCCACCAGGTCAAGGGTCACTATGTGCAAGTGGGAGAGGGAAAAAGAAACGGTGGACGCGGGTCTCCTGGAAACCAAGGGAGGGAGGCTGGGGAGGAGCGGTCACCTCCGGGCATGCGGCCATTATGCAGTCATGTCATGCAAACAGTGGCCACCTCAAGCCTGAGATCACAGCAGGACACTGAGGAGTGGCACCTCTGGACGAACCCTGACCGGTTGAGGCTTGACCGGGACAGGAAAAGCCGTGGCTCTCGGGATCCGAGGGTCCTCTGGCTCCAGGGGACACACGTTACAGGCCAGGCAAGAGGCCACCTGGCCCGATCCCACCAGGTGTGCCGGGCGGTGGGCCCTGCCCTGAGTCGCCCTCACAGAGGGGGCTGGGCAGGGCCGCCAGGTCATAGTGGGGCCCCCTTTATATACGGGCCCCGAGAGCCCCACCGAGCAGACCAACAGCAACACCAGGAGCAGGCGGGCCCCAGCCCTCCTCCCGCCACGGCCAGCCGCAGCCTCAGCCCAGGTGCCCCGGGTCTGCCCCCGAGCCGCAGACGCCATGGTCCGATGCCGCGTGAGGAACCCCGGTGACCGTCTGCAGCAGGGGCCCAGGCAGGACGCGGGATGTGAGGACCCGGAGCGGGAGCAGGAGCAGGGGCAGGCGCTGACCCAGGAGCCCGCCGAGGCCTTCGGGAGGACACAGAGGAGCTGCCAGTACAGGCGCAGGCCCTGCTCCCGGCGGAGGCTGCAGCGGATCCACAGGTGCCGCCATTCCTGCCAGAGGCACCGCAGGCGCTGCAGGTGCAGGTACAGGCGGCGGTGCTGCCGCTGCTACCGAGGTGCGTGCCCACGCGCGGCCCAGGCCGCACCCCCGGGCGGAGGACGGGGCGGGAGGCGGGGGGAGGAGCCCATGGGGTCCAGGAACGGCTTCTCTTTCCCAAAGTCTGCAGAAGAGTCAGGAGGAAGAGGAGGTGCAGGAGGCGGTAGTGACCCCGCCCGAAGCCCGGGGGAAGCCGAGTCACCTGCCCAAGGAGCGCGAGGCCCTGACACCCCTCCTGTGCGCACGCCGAGCCCCGAGCTGCCCAGGAGCCACGAGCAGTCACCTGCCCAATAAAGACTGGTGCGAACCCGGCCGCCGGGTCTCCTTGGCGGGTCACGGCCCTTCCTCCAGGAAGTCCACCCGACTAAAGGGCCACTGTGGAGCTCAGTCCAGCCCCGGGGTGGACGGGTGACGTGAGCAGCAGAGGGCTGCAAGAGCCCGAGGGGGGAGGCAGGTCGGGTGTGCTCCAGCAAGGACGAGGCGGACCGCAGCAGGGCTGGGCCCGGGCTGGGGCTCCGGTGGGACTCCATCTGCCCGTCACTCCACGTGTCCGAACTCTGCCGCCTTCTGACAGGGACACTAGCCCACCTAGACAAGAGGCACAGTAGCTGTCACTGGCTCTCAGACTGAGGTGGACATCTCAGAGGGTCATTATGACAAGTCAGTGCTGGGGATGAAATCCAGGGCCTCTTCCTACAAGGCCACTAGCCCCTGGCCTTGACCTAGAGGTCCTCCTGCCTCAGCCTCCCTCGCAGCTGGCATCACAGGTGCGTGGCACCAGACCTAGCAAGACCCCTCCACGGCGGTCCTGGCTCCTCCCACCCCGCCACCCCGCCAGTGGGCAGTTCCCCTGTGTCCACCGAGACCTGGGGCCCCACAGAGCCTGGGCACTGCCTTTCGGGATGTTGGAGGACACACTAACAGTCAGGAGGGGTTTTGTGTGTGCTGGGAACCGCGCCCCGGGCCCTGCCGCCGCGCCCTGCCACGGAGCCGCAGCCCGGCCTGCAGGGGGCACAGTGTGGGGTGCACTTGAGGCACACCGTGAGTCACTGCCACGTCAGTGGGTCAGGAAGCCCACCCCTTGCCAGCCCCGAGGGGCAGCCTCTCTCCTGACCCTGTCTGCACACTATCCCCGGCTCTCGGCACCCCCGGCGCTCAGCTGAGAGGGCAAGTGTCCAGGCCCAGGAGGCCAGACGGGGCGGGTAGCACTGGACAGACCTCCCCCGGCCCAGCTGCCCGCTCTGCCTTGGGTGCTGGGTGGGGCGGGCTCCAGGGCCCCTTTGTGATGTCAGCACTCTGTCCGCCTCACTGCCCCTCCACCCCCCGGCCGCCTCCCTCCTAGTCCAGAGAGACGGGCAGAGTGGACCATGGGTTCCCGATGCGCCAAGCTCAGCACGGGCCACGGCACCGGCCAGGGCACGGGCCACAGCCGGGGCCACGAGTCGTCCATGAAGAAGCTGGTGGCCTGCGTGAGCCAGGATAACTTCTCCCTGTCGTCAGAGGGGGAGGGGGAGGAGGAGGAGGAGGACGAGGAGGAGGAGGACGAGGAGGAGGAGGAGGACGAGGAGGAGCAGCTCCCCGTGCAGGGCCAGCTGCTGCTGATGGAGCCCGAGAGGCAGGAGGGGAGCGCCGAGGACAGCCCGGGGGCCCCGCAGAGCCCCGAGGCCAAGCAGACGCACGCCTAACGCCAGAGGCCCGGGAAGGTGCCCGCCGCCGCACTCCTCACCGCCAGATGCCCAGCAGGGGTGCCCGCCGCCGGCCCAGCGAGAACCTCCAGAGAAGAGTCAATAAAATGTCCCCCAGGAGCTCCCCTCTCGGGTGTCCCCTGCCTCCCCCAGGGCTCTGCACGCAGGGAGGGGGCGAGGGAGCTGGCCCTGAGGGAGGCCAGCTCTGGGCACAGTGGCCTTGCTCCTGCCCAGTGGGTGGAAAGTGGGCGCCTGGGCTGGGAAGCCGGCTCAGCGTCCATCTCTGGGGCAGGGGGCCTCTTCCAGCCCCCGGGGATCCACGTCCCCCTGGGGGGACCCCGTTGGCCATGCTGAGCCTGGACAGCGTGGTCTTCAGGAGCCCTGGCTTGGGAGCCCAGCCTGTGGGTTCCCGTTTCTTTTCTGCTGTGTGGCCCCGGGCAGGTCACTGTGTGTCTCTGGGCCCCAGCCTGCCCCCGTCTGCTTCAGGTGAGGCTAAGAGCACGAACCACACGGGGCCTGGGCCTGACGTGGAGCGCGTCTGACTGGGGCAGATCTCGCCCCCGGCTCCTGGGGTCCCCTCTGCCTCACGGGAGCCTCGAGCTCCTCTTGGTTCCTCTGTGGGGACCGTCTGTGCCCCCGTCTTCCCCCCGGAGAGGGGCTGCCAGGCACAGGGAGCTCAGGGCCAAGCCTGGGTCTGCTGCCCCCTGCCCCTGGCCCCCCTGCTCCCATCGGCTCTGCCGTCCCTGGGCATCGGCCACCTGGCCATGAGGGCCCTGGTGAGGGGACGGGCTGGGGAGCGGGCATTTCCAGGGAAGCCCTGGGGTCTCTGAGGCCACGCTGGGGCCAGGCCACCCACCTCTGACCTGCAGAGGCCACAGTCCCCCGCCTCAGGCCTCTGAGCAGGTCTGTCCTGTTGCTCAGGCCCCGCGAGTCCACCCGCAGGCCCAGGGGAGTCGCCAGGCGCCGGTCACCAGGGCCCTGACAACGAAATGAGGCTCCATCCCGAGGGGCAGCCCGGGGGCAGGGGTGGCTCACGCCCGAGGTCTGCGGAGGGGCCTGGGAAGGAGGGGCGTCCCTGGCAGTGCTGGCCATCTCCACGGGGCGGGGAGCCGGCAGCGAGGAGCCGGGGCCGTGGGGGGCAGAGACCCAGGAAGCCTTCCCAGGGCGGCCAGCACCCCGGGAGGAGCCCCCACAGTCCGCCTGCTCTCCCCTAGAGTCACGTTGTCAGGTTCCGGGGGCTGGATGGGGACAGAGATTCTGGGGGCCCCCATTCAGCCCACTACGCAGGGTCCCTGTGCTGCTCGAGGGCAAAGTGGCCCGGACAGGGTGGTCCAGGCCCCGAGGGCAGGAAGGGCCCGTGGACGCGGCGGTTCTCTCGAGAAGCCACTGGACGCTAAGAAGTCAACCTGGTGACAGCTCCGAGGGCAGCTGCTCTGCGGAAGGGACCGAGCTGGGTGTGGGCAGCGGAGGTGCCAGGTGCACCTGGGCCGGGCCCTGCCGGAGAGGGCTGCCCGAGACCTGGGCGGGTCACGCTGGGCCCTGGGGTGTGTGAGCCAGGACAGCCTGAGGCCACCGTGTCGCGGGCCGTCTGGAGGCGGACACCAGAAAAGCCCCTTTGTCACGTCCTCAGCACCATGACGACTCCCCAAGGGGCCTAGTGCACACTGGGGCCCGGGTGCCACCGTCCAGCGCCCAGCCAGCACCCGACTGCACGTCCAGCACCTGACTGCACGTCCAGCACCTGTGCCCGCCGACTCCTCTCAGCCACCGGCCCAGGGGTCTCAACTCCAGCCTCAGCTCTGATGGGGGGGGCCCCGCCGGGCAGCCCCAGACCACCCGCCAGGCCACCAAGTGACTTCCAGACTGTCCACCACCCACTCGTCACCAGGCTGGCCACCCCCACTACCCACCCCTGGGCCAGGGCTGCCCTCCTGGCACCAGCCGCCCCGCAGGGTGAGGAAAGGGGCTGGCGGCGGGCTCCGTGCGCGGGCCCTGGCCACCACGCCTGGCTCTGAGCCAACGGCCGGACCTCAACCCCTCCGCTGATCCTTCCCGTGTCCCTGTGACGAGGGGCAGTCGCCATCCCCGGTCTGCCAGGACGGGAAACTGGCACCTGACAGGTGAGCGTCCAGAGCTGCAGAGGACCAAGAGCAGAGCCGGGTGCAGACGCTGCGCAGGGTCCCCCAGGGCCACTGTTAAGGGCAGAGGGAACGACCGAGGGCCCAGAGCTGCCCCACGCAGGGCGTCCCGGTGGGCCCCACCTCTGACCCTCTGTGGCCACCACCATCAGCCCAGCTGTGGGCAGCGGGGACTCTGACAGTGGGCCTGATGGCAGAGGAGGAGGAGGAGGCCTCTGTCCTGCGACTGTGGCCCCAGGGACACCCAGAGGCCCAGCCCCCGCCGCCACGGGGCACACGAACACTGTGTGCTGCCCCAGCCCCCAGGTGGCCCTCGCTGTGGACGCTGCCCCAGGGAGAGAAAGGGCTTGAAAGGGAAGGTGAGCCTGAGAAGGGGGTCCGACCGCAGGGGCCCCCAGCGGGGGACAGAGGCGGAGCTCAGGGGGAGGCCCGGGGCCCAGAGGTGACGGGGCAGCCCCGCTGGACCTCCAGGGTGAGGTGGGGACTGCGGCCTCCCAGCCAGGGCACAGGAGCCACAGCCAGGGGGAGAGCAGCCACGGGGCCGGCTGCCCAGCGCAGGACGCACGGGTGGACGGGTCCTTTGAAGACACCGAGGGGTGCTCAGGACAGCGGGCAGCAGATCAGCCAGGCAGGAGCCGGCGCGAGGCTGGGGGACGAGGGCGCAGAGGCCGGGAGATGGGTGGGTCATCAAGGGACAGGCTGAAGGACAGGACTGTGTGTGCCTGTGAGTGGACGGACGGGTCAACTAGCTGAGGTGACGCGTGGGTCAGACTCCTGGGCTGGCGGCTGGGAGGACTCAGGCGGGCACAGCTGCTGGACATAGAGTTAGAGGCTGGCTGGGCGCTGGAGGGTGAGTCGCTGGGCTGGTCAGCTCGGCCACGGCTGGCGAGGTGGCCAATGACAGACCAGGGGAGTGGGCGGTGGGGCAGACGGTGCACAGGCAGGCTGGCTGGACGAGGGGGCACTGGAGGGACCACACGGAAGAGGAGATGGCCAGCCGCAGCCAGGGGAGGATGTCCGCGGTGGGGACCCCTAGGACCCGCCAGCCCTGCAGGAGCGCGTTACTGTGGTGACCGGTTGGCGACACCAGTGGAAGCTCGTCCCCTGGACAAACGCCTCTGAGCAGCACTCGACTCACTGACCAAGGGGCCGCGTATGTTTCAGGGGCCACACTGTCTGTGAGAGCAGAAGACGGCCTCCGTGTCCATCAGCTGCGACAGGGACAATGTTCCCGCCGGGAGAAGCACTGCCCAAACTGCCCTGTGGTCAGAGGAGCGGGTCCAGAGGGTGCGTGTCCAGGAGAGGACCAGAGGACCCAGCCCAAGCTGGTGCGGGGGCTTCCCTCTGGGGGGGGGGTGCCTTGACCAGTTAATAAGGAAGAGAAAGGGGGTCCCAGCAGGGGTGAGCCAGTCCCCAGTCCCCGGAGCTCATGCGCTCCGCCCTCGGCCCTCAGGCTCCACCCAGAGGGGTGGACGCCAAGCCTGGCCTCCTGGGGGATGGACCCAGGTGCCCTGCCCCTCAGCTACACCCCAAGGGCCATCCTCCTGCCTCAGCCCCCTGAGTTGGTTCTGATCCACAAGAGCCTCCTGCATTCAGGAACAGGGGTGTGGACCTGGGTTGAGATGCCCATCTGTGGTCTCCTGCAGGCGTGGTCAGGAGCACTCTCCACCCCAGCCGGGCACTGGACACCACTGGGGCTTTAAGACAGTCCGGAGTCCAGGATCCCTCGTCCTCAGCCGACCAGGGGGCTCTGCCCAGGGCTCTGCCTCCTGGGCCCAGCTCCTCCCCTGGCACAAGCCGAGTTTGCTACTGTCTGGCGCATCCTCAAACGGCTGCCTCCCCAGAATGAGGACTGGGCACAGACCCCTCCCCAATCTGGTGCCCAGAAT